GGGCAGTCTTGGTCAATCTGTCAATAATGATCCATATTGTGGTGCAACTGGAACTAGTTCTGGGCAAACTGATGACAAAGTTTATGGTCACAAACTCCCACTTCCATTTTAGAATAGGGAGGTCTTGCAAAAATTCGAGTGGATATCTAATGCTTGACCTTAACTCGTTGACAAGTAAGAGATCAGAAAACATAGTCAACAATATCTTTCTTAATTATAGGCCCTTAGTATTGGTGTCTCAAGTCTCGATACATCTTGATACTTTCGGAGTGAGTGGATAACTTGGAGGCATGAACAACCTTAAGAACATCTGTCCTGACTACAACAGGAACCTAAATACAATCCCAAAATCGACACAAATCATCATATATGAGCCTGAAATAAAGAAATTCATTAGAAGTAAATTTAGCTGTTGAGTTATCTCAGGATTAGAGGATTGAGCTTCCCAAATCTTCATGAAAAAATCAGGCAAAGCTTGAAATTGGGTGAGGTATGCACCATTTCCATTGTGCTTCCCAAGTCTTCATGAAAAAATCAGGCAAAGATTGAAATTGGGTGAGGTATGCACCATTTCCATAGTGATTAAGATAGAGTGCCTGTATTACATCAACTAGTTTCGAACTAGAGGCCATCATTTGGGTCGACAAAGTGAACTTCTTTCGACTTAAAGCATCAGCAACCACATTACCTTTACCAAAATAGTAGAGGATCTTGTAGTCATAATCTTTTAGGATGTATATCCAACACCTCTGCCTTATATTCAGTTCTTTTTGAGAAACTATATATTTCAAACTTTTATGATCAGTATAAATCTCAAATGTCTGACCATACAGATAGTAGCAGCATATTTTCAGGGCAAAGATAATAGCAGTTAACTCCAGGTTGTGCATGGGGTAATTACACTCATGGAGTTTCAGGTGTCTGGATCCATAAACGACTACCCAGCTATGTTGTATCAAGGCACATCTCAAACTTATGTGAGATATATCGCATAAAACCTAAAATTGCATAGTATTGTCAAGAACGATCAACACTGGGGCAGAGGTGAGGCGATCCTTCAATTTAATAAAATTGTCTTCACATTCTTCATCCCAAACAAAAGCTACACCTTTCTTGGTGAAGCGGGTCAAAGGAGTTGTAATCTTGAAAAATCTATCAATGAAATATTTGTAGTAGCCGACCAAACCCAAAAAACTGTGTACCTCAGCGACATTAGTTGATTGGTTTTAATTAACTATAGTTTCAACATTAGAAGGATCAACAGAAACTCTTTTGCCAGAAATCATATGACCAAGGAAAGAGACTCGGTCCAATGAAAATAAGCACTTACTGAATTTCACGTATAAGTGATTTCGACGAAGGGTCTCCAATACGCAGGACAGATGGTCAGCATGTTCTTCGCAATTCTTCAAGAACACCAAAATTTCATTGATGAACACAATGATGTATTGATCCAATGCATACCAAAAGACCTTGTTGATAAGATCAATAAAAGCAGTAGGGGCATTAGTCAATTCGAAAGACATCACCTTGAACTTGAACTGACCATATTGGCATCAAAATGCTATCTTGGGGATTTTTTTTCCATCACTCTCGACTAATAGTACCCTAATATGAGGTCAATTTTTGAAAAAGTTATAACATCTTGCAACTGATTAAAGAGGTCGTCAATATGGGGTAAATGATACTTACTTTTTATTGTTACTCAATTAAGCTCCCTGTAGTCAATACACAATCGAAGAGAATTGTCTTTCTTCTTTATAAATAGCACCGGGGCACCCAAAGGAGAATGGCTGAGCGAATGAACCTTTGTGTAAGAAGCTTGGGGAGGTGGTGCTGAAGTTCAGCAAGTTCAGTGCGACTCATGCGATAAGTAGATTTTGAGATTGGTTGAGTTCCTAGAAGTATATCAATGAAAAATTCTATCTCCTGTGGGGAGTAGACAAGTAGTTCATTCGGAAAGACATCA